AGGCTGAATGAATAACTGACTCTAAATGTAGGTATTGTGATATAAACCGAGTCTGTTCTACAGTTTCTCGTTAGGCTGAATGAATAACTGACTCTAAATGTAGGTATTGTGATATAAACCGAGTCTGTTCTACAGTTTCTCGTTAGGCTGAATGAATAACTGACTCTAAATGTAGGTATTGTGATATAAACCGAGTCTGTTCTACAGTTTCTCGTTAGGCTGAATGAATAACTGACTCTAAATGTAGGTATTGTGATATAAACCGAGTCTGTTCTACAGTTTCTCGTTAGGCTGAATGAATAACCGACTCTAAATGTAGGTATTGTGATATAAACCGAGTCTGTTCTACAGTTTCTCGTTAGGCTGAATGAATAACCGACTCTAAATGTAGGTATTGTGATATAAACTGACTCTGTTCTACAGTTCCTCATTAGGCTGAATGAATAACCGACTCTAAATGTAGGTATTGTGATATAAACTGAGTCTGTTCTACAGTTTCTCATTAGGCTGAATGAATAACTGACTCTAAATGTAGGTATTGTGATATAAACCGAGTCTGTTCTACAGTTTCTCGTTAGGCTGAATGAATAACTGACTCTAAATGTAGGTATTGTGATATAAACCGAGTCTGTTCTACAGTTTCTCGTTAGGCTGAATGAATAACTGACTCTAAATGTAGGTATTGTGATATAAACCGAGTCTGTTCTACAGTTTCTCGTTAGGCTGAATGAATAACCGACTCTAAATGTAGGTATTGTGATATAAACTGAGTCTGTTCTACAGTTTCTCGTTAGGCTGAATGAATAACCGACTCTAAATGTAGGTATTGTGATATAAACTGAGTCTGTTCTACAGTTTCTCGTTAGGCTGAATGAATAACCGACTCTAAATGTAGGTATTGTGATATAAACTGAGTCTGTTCTACAGTTTCTCGTTAGGCTGAATGAATAACTGACTCTAAATGTAGGTATTGTGATATAAACTGAGTCTGTTCTACAGTTTCTCGTTAGGCTGAATGAATAACCGACTCTAAATGTAGGTATTGTGATATAAACTGTCTGTTTCTTATTAGCATTCTGTAAATTAGCAACAGCTGCTATGAAGTGCTGCCTGTGTGGGCGGAGCCTGGAGTTCAGTCCAGAGGCCAGGCTTAACCTGTGTCCAGGAAAGTGGCCACATGAAGAGTCAGGGAGAAAAACAGCATGTTCTGTTTGAGTCACAGGAACGATGGCAGACAGGGACGGAGAGACGGAGGGATGGATGGGCGAGAGGAGGAGCCTAAAGGGGTGGAGTGTAAAGGGTAGAAGGGCACTTACAGAGAGTTTAGGCTATGCAGTGAGAGTACCTGAGGGAGAAGGCTGTCCCTTCACCACGCCATTCTTCGTTCTCTCCTCAAAGTTCATCACTTCTTTATAGATCAGCTCTGAGAGGGAGAGAGAGAGGGGGAGAGAGGAAGAGGAAGAATGGGAGGAAGAGTGGGAGAGAGGGAGGAAAAGAGGGAAAGGGTAAGAGAGGAAAAGAAGAAAGGGAGGAACAGATAGGAAAAGAGAGAGAGGAAGAGGAAGAAAGGGAGGAACAGAGAGAGAAACAGAGAAAGAGAAGAATAAGAAAGGGAGGAAGAGAGAGGCAGGGAGAAATAAATGAAGACAGAAGGGGAGAGAGAGAGAGCAAAAGAGAGAGAGACAGAAAGGGGGGAGAGAGAGGAAGACAGAGGGAGAAGGAAGACAGCAAAAGGGAGAGAGAGGAAGAAGAAAGGGATGAAGAGAGAGGGAGAAAGAGAGAAAGACAGAAGGACAGAGAGAGAGCAAAAGAAAAAGAGAGAGAAAGAAAGGGGGAGGGAGAGAGGAAGAGCGAAAGAAAGAGAGAGAGAGAAAGGGGGAGAGAGGAAGAAGAAGAAAGGGAGGAACAGAGAGAGGGGGAGAGGAAGATGGAGGAAGTGAGAGAGAAAGAGAAAAAAGGGAGGGAGAGAGGAAGATGAAGAGAGAATGATGAGGAAAAAAGGGAGAAAAAGAGAGGAAGACGGAAAGAGAGCAAAAGAGAGAGAGAGGAAGAGTGAACGAGACGGGGGGGAAGAGAGGGAGCGGGAGAGAGAGGACGAGACAGAGATTGATTAAGAAGGGTATTAAGAAAAGAAAACAAAATCAATTTCAGTCTTTGCTCTAATTAACTGCGGCGCACGTTCTTAATTGGAAAAGTTGGTAAACAGTCTGGGCTGAAAGCAGAGCCGGAGATCCTTCTGTAGATCCTTCTGTAGATCCCTGTAGATCTCTGTAGATCTCCACAGCAGATCCATCTGGCTGACCAGCGGTTCAATGTTGATGTGATATCAGTCTGAGGTCCTCAGAGCTCAGAAAAACACCATTTCAGCCTCTCAGCCTTCGTCTCTGCTCAGAGCTGTGAGCTGAGAGCCTTTAGACCCAGATTCAGTATTTACTATACACTCTATGGACAAAAGTATTGGGACACCTACACATCACACCTACAGGAGCTTTTATGACTCCCATTCTGAATCCATAGGCATTAATATGGAGTTGGTCCCCCTTTGCAGCTCTAACAGCTTCCACTCTTCTGGGAAGCTTCTACAAGATGTTGGAGAGTCTGTGGGAATTTCTGTCCATTCATCCAGAAGAGCATTTATGAGGTCAGACACTGATGTTGGACGAGAGGGCCTGGCTCACAATCTCTGTTCTAGTTCATCCCAAAGGTGTTCAGTGGGGTTGAGGTCAGGACTCTGTGAGGGCCAGTCAAGTTCTTCCACACCAAACTCACCCAGTCAGGCCTTTGTGGAGCTGCTTTGGTCACTGGGGCTCAGTCACGCTGGAACAGGAAAGGTTCTTCCCCAAACTCTTCCCACAAAGTCGGAAGTGCACAATTGTCCAAAATGTCTTGGTGCTGAAGCATTAAGGTTTCCCTCCACTGGAACTAAGGGTTCTAGACCAACCCCTGAAAAACAGCCCCATTTCATCATCCCTCCTCCACCAAACTCTACAGCTGGCACAGTGCAGTCAGGCAGGTAACGCTCTCCTGGCATTCGCCAAACCCAGACTCGTCCATCAGACTGACAGGTAGAGAAGCTGATTCGTCACTCCAGAGAACACGGTTCCACTGCTCCAGAGTCCAGTGGCGGCGCTTTACTCCACTCCAGCCGACGCTTGGCATTGCACATAGTGATCTTAGGCTTGGGTGCAGCTGCTCAGCCACGGAAACCCATTTCATGAAGCTCCTACTATAGTGGTGAAATTGTTCCTCTGATGTAGAATGTGTTGTACATGGTTCTATATAGAAAATGGTTCTTTATAGCACCAAAAAGGGTTCGTCTGCTGTTACAAGCTTGACATTGTAACAATAGCAGAACCCGTTTAGAACCACATACAACACATTCTCCATCAGTACGAAGAACGATGTCTCCATGCCAAGAACCATTTAAGCATGCAAATGGTTCTTTGACTGTTCATAGTTCTTTATAGAACCACTGGCTTTACTAAAGAACCCTGGAAGAACCTCCTTTTTTAGTGTATATAGAACCATTTAATGCTTAAGTGGTTCTTTGCATGGTGAAATGGTTCTTCAGATAGATGGAGAATGTGTTGTATATGATTCTTTATAGCATCAAAAAGGGTTCTCCCTCAATCAGAAGAACCATGTCTCAATGTAAAGAACCATTTAAGCATGCAAATGGTTCTTCAAATGTTCATGTTTCTTTACAGAGCCACTGTCTTTACTAAAGAGCCCTTGAAGAACCATCTTTTTAAGAGTGTAGGACTCATGGTTCTAAATAGAACCGCTGCTTTTACTCAAGAACCATATTTTTTTAAGTGTGTATTTAACAGAAAATTACACAGAAGCCTTCAGCTACTTTTCCATTTAATTTTTTTTCTTTTGTAAACAAAACTGAAAATGTAGAACTGTGTCTTTTTGGTGTTCAGAGAACCAGTGATGCTGTGAAAGATGGTGAGGCTCTTTAGCCGTGTATCTCAGCCATGAAGCAGGTCATAAATCAGTAATGTATGGGTGTAAATCTCCTTTACCCTCTTCTTTAAAAAGCCCCAGATTGAGACCCCAGATCGAGACCCCCACTGTCCGCTTCTAATCAATCGGGCTAATGGAGCTGCGCTCTGCATTTAAAGAAGGTCGTGGTGAGAACGTGGCGGAGGAGAGCGGCTAAATGGACCGAGTGAAAATGGATCCGATCTTGAATATACCATAAAAACAAAAGCTGAAAGTCATTTTAACTGAAAATACGATAAAACCATAAAACGCCATTAACGAACTCAAACACCCACTCAAACCAGTGCAGCCAGAGGAGGACGGGTTCCCTTTTCCAGTCTCGGCTCCTCTCAGTGGTTCTTCTACATGTTCCAAGGGAGTTCCCTTTATTTTAAGGTCTGCTTCTTTGTGATAACTGAATTATTCGCAAGTAATTAATTACGCCCTACACTCTTCAACATAACGGTTCTCCAAGGGTTCTTCAGTAAAGAAAATGGATCTATATAGGGCCATGAACACTCAAAGAACCCTCTGCATGATTAAAGTGTTCTTTGCATCATTAAATAGTTCTTCACTGAATTGATGGAGAATGGGTTCTATATAGAACCTTTTTTCAAAAGGGTTCTATATAGCACCAAAAAGGGTTCTTCAAAAAAAATGTTTGTAAGCACCAGCAATACACTCTTTACTAAAGAACGCTTGAAGAACCATCTTTTTAAAGACAGTGGTTCTGTATAGCACCAAAAAGGGTTCTGCTGTTGTGACGATGATCTTGTAACAATAGAAGAACCCTTGTTGGTGCTAAACAGAACCCTTTTCAAAAATTTCCTATACGAAACCATCTACAGCACATTCTTCATCAATGTAATCATTCAGTCATTACGTCATCATTTAATCAAGCAAAGGGTTCTTTGAGTGTTCATGGTTCTATATAGAACCATTGTCTTTACTAAAGAACTCTTGAAGAACCATCTTTTTTAGGGGTGTACACCTTACCGTTAGTACACGCTTACAAATGACCTGAAAATTGCTTTCAAAGTACTAGCTACATTTAAAAGATCTGTAATAATGAATTTGTCCATAACTAAAGTGGAACATTATTAAGAACCGTTCTCTTACTAAGAGTTTACCAAATTTGGGTCATAAAAGGTTAAAAATGGGCATCAGCTCCCAGACTTTACAGCAGAATCCAGTGGACTGTTGTTATTTTGAACTGTACTGTAAAATTACAGCGTTCAAGTGTGCACAATTAACGAAATGAGCCCATTTACTGCCACTGTGAGTTCAGACAAACACCACCTGCTCATGTTCCTCAATTACCTGGTCACGTAAAGTCTCAATCAGCCAACCTGCATTTCGACTCTGAAGTACATCTACAACGTAGCTGCTCAATTTAAAGAGGGATCGAAAAAGTAGAAATGAAGTTTAATCAACTAAAATAAATTAAAAACAGCAAGAGAAATAATTAATGAAGAAATAAATGAATTAATACATAACATAACATTAATTAAATAAAAGAAATAAAAGCTCTAATAAGAAATAGCCATAAAACAGCAATATTTTATGCTTGTCGCTGAAAAATTACAATGAATTAACATTTAAACTCGTTAGTTAATAAATAGCTAATAACTAATTTTAGTTAGTCCTTATAGTGGATCATTCTCAGCACTGCAGTAACACTGACGTGGTGGTGGTGTGTTAGTGTGTGTTGCGCTGGTCTGAGTGGATCAGACACAGCAGTGCTGCTGGAGTTTTTAAACACCTCAGTGTCACTGCTGGACTGAGAATAGTCCACCAACCAAAAATATCCAGCCAACAGCGTCCTGTGGGCAGCGTCCTGTGACCACTGATGAAGGACTAGAGGATGACCAACACAAACTGTGCCGCAGCAGATGAGCTATCGCCTCTGACTTTACATCTACAAGGTGGACTGACAAGGTAGGAGTGTCTAATAGAGTGGACAGTGAGTGGACACAGTGTTTAAAAACTCCAGCAGCACTGCTGTGTCTGATCCACTCAGACCAGTGCAACACACACTAACACACCACCACCATGTCAGCGTTACTGCAGTGCTGAGAATGATCCACCACCCAAATAGTACCTGCTCTGTGAGGGTCCATGGGGGTCCTGACCACTGAAGAACAGGGTAAAAGGGGGCTAACAAAGTATCAGAGAAACAGATGGACTACAGTCTGTAACTGTAGAACTACAAAGTGCACCTATATAGTAAGTGGAGCTGATAAGATGGACAATGAGCGTAGAAACAAGGAGGTGGTCAGAATGTTATGCCTGATCGTGTATCTGATCTTGTGTGTATCAGTGTTACAGTGAGTCCCTCAGTAAAGAGTTCTGTCATAGAGCTGCTGCTGTTTTACATTCCTGACAACTAACCAGAACCTGCTTAGACTACAGCTCACGTTCACAGTCTCAGATCTGCGACGCGTCTATCGAGAGCTCGCTTGGGCACACACATTCTTAGTCCACAGAAAGCCTTAGTCCTTCTCTGAAGGCCTAGAAGACCTTGAGGGTTCCTCTCTGGTGACTGTACTTCTGGCAAAGAACTCCTAAATATTAAGTGACATAAAACTCCAACTTCTTTATTGGAGAAGCATAAAATGGAATTTACTGCCCAGAATGCATTTTTTTCACCTAATTAGAATTTATAGCATCACAGGCTCAGAATCCATCATGTGAAACTAGAACATAAAGCTTTTTACAGCAACACCGAAGACAAAGACTGAAGCTGTGATGGCGATACATAAATATTTCAGTGGTTTCTGTATGAATCAGATTACGAGGGCAGGATTATAAACGTTAGAGAGAGGGCCTATTTAGTTCAGAATTGGACGGCTAAGATTCCAGTGAAATTCCAGTGAGATTAACCTAATCTCTGAGGGATTAGGTGAGTGTAGGTTAAGGTAATCTCTGAGAGATTAAGGGTTTACCTTTCCACTCGTCGATGGAGTGTTCTCTCTCATCCAGCTGCTTGTCGTAGATCTGAGGGGGAGGCTGAACAGAGAGAGAGAGATAAGAGGTGAGGACCTGTTCATCCATCATCCATCACACAGATTACAATAACCTGAACAACAGTCTTAATTACAGAATGTTAAGATAAGGCTGTCAAACAATTAGTTGTGATTAATCACATTATTTTGTGTCAATAGTCAAACTAGGTGTTAACACATGACTACAACTTCTGCAGCAAAGTATCTGATTTTTTGCTTTTTAAATGATGTACAGTTTTATATGTGAGAAAAAATAAATAAAATATGCAGGAGTTTGGACATCAACAACGAAGGGCTCCTGTAAGCAGCTAGCAGAGGATCCAAACATGAAGCTAACTGATGCCTACAAAACAGAAGAAGGCTATAAAAAAGATTTTAAGGCTCTTCCAGATTTCTACTGTCCGAAATGTCCTTGAGAAATGGATGTTTTGGGGAACTGTGGAAGAAAAGCAAATCAAAAAGGCAAAGCAAAACCCCCACATGACTGCAAAGGACCTGCAGGAAGGTTTAGCTGACACAGGAGTTGTGGTGCATCTTTCTACTGAACACAAACATGATCTGCATGGAGAAGTCATCAGTAGAAAAGCTCACCTGCAACCTCTACACAAAAATCAACCCATGAAAAATACAAAACACCATCAGCCAGAGGCTTTTTGGACACAGGTGCTGTGGACTGATGATGTAAAAATGGAACTCTTCAGCCATGATCACCAACGCTGTGTTTGGAGAAAAAGAACCAGCATTTGATGAATGGAACACTGTGCTGACTCTTAAGCATGGGGGTGGCTCTATTATGCTCTGGGTTGTGTGGCAGCCAGTAAAGGCTCAGGAAACACTGCACAGGTAAAGAATGGATTCCACTAAATATCAACAAATTCTGGAGCAAATCAAGTCAAGAAGCTGCAGCTGAAAAGAGGCTGGCGTCTAGAACAGGACAATGATCCAAAACACACCTCAAAATCTACCATAAACTATTTTAGGAGAAACACTAAAGCTTTTGGAACGACCCTCATCTTTCTGACTTCAACATCATTGAAAATCTGTGAGTAAACATGCTGTACAGGCGTGATGGACAAAGAATATCGAAGAACTAGAAGTGTTCTGAAAGGAAGAGTTCCTGAGACAAGAACAGAAAGACTCCTACATTCTTAAGAAAGATGGTCTTTCAAGGGTTCTTCAGTAGAGGCAATGGTTATTCAGATTGATGGAGAATGTACTGTCCATGGTTCTATATAGAATTTTTTTTTGGAAAATAGTTCTACACTCTTAAAGGTGGTTCTTCAAGGGTTCTTTAGTAAAGAAAATGGTTCTATCTAGACCCACGAACACTCAAAGAAGGGTTTTTTGCATTGTGAAAGTGCTCTTCAGATTGATGGACAATGTGCTGTATATCAAGGGTTCCATACAGCACCAAAAAGGGTTCTTCCATTGTTATGGACTCAAGCTTGTAACAATAGTAGAGCACTTTTCAAAAAGGTTCTATTTAGAACCATTTATAGCACATTCATGCACATTTATCATCAATCCAAAGAACCCTTTCATGATGTAAAGAACCCTGTAATCATGCAAAGGGTTCTTTGAGTTTACTAAAGAACCCTTGAAAAACCATCTTTGGTTCATATATCACCAAAAAGGGATCTTCTATTATATACACGCTTGACATTGTAATAATAGAAGAACACTTTTTGATGCTATTTAGAACTATTTTTAAAAGGGTTCTATACAGAACCATATACAACACATTCTCTATAAATCTGAATCTGCACTCCTGAAGAACCATCTTTGTAAGAGTGTAAAAAGCATTTACGTTATGCATTAACATTTTCAAAATAAATAATGTAAAATTATTTGCTGCAGAGGTTGTGTTTACTTCTTTTCACTTAAAATTAACTATTCATACACATATAGATTATATATATTATAGATTGCAGTAGGCAAGTCTATGGAAGTTGATTCGAAACACAGCTGCTAATCGTCTTATATGTTCCTGCAGAGCTGCTCTGAGCTCACCGCGCTAATCAATAACGCTAAAAGGACCAGAGCGAGCTGTACTTACAGCCTCCACCTCAGATGGGTCGTACCACACGTTGATGTAGGGGTGCTGCAGGGCCTCGTCCACTGATATCCGCTTAGCGGGGTCGATAATTAACATCTTGGACAGCAGGTCTCTGGCCTGGCTGGCTGCAGAGGCACAGAGAGAGAGAGAGAGAGAGAGAGAGAGAGAGAGAGAGAGAGAGAGAGAGAGAGAGAGAGGGGGAGGGAGGGAGAGGGGGAGGGGGGGAGGGAGGGAGAGGGGGAGGGAGGGAGGGAGAGGGGGAGGGAGGGAGGGAGGGAGGGAGAGTGAGTGAGCATATGGAAACATATCAATTGATTATTAACGATATCCCTCTTTTCTCAGGACACGTATGATTGATTGGACTGTAAACAGGCTACAGCAACAAGAGACAAAGCGTTTAAACTAAGAACGATTGGTCAGTTGTGTTTAAATTTGCATTAAATTCATGCAACATGAATATATTCGAATAGAAATCGATTAATTTGATCATATAACTGATGGATATGATCAAACATCATCTGAGAAATGCTTTCAGAAGCATACTCAAAACACTCAAAACACACACACCCCAACTCTTCAGCCATATCCGATCCCTAAAGTAACAAGTCAGCCAATGGTTTAATGCATACAGTACAGTGTGAGTGTATTATTTAGAAGTGGAAGTGTTTAGGAACCACAGCAACTCAGCCACGAAGTGTCAGACCATGTAAAGTCACAGAGCGGGTCTCCGAGTTCTGAGGAGCACAGAGCATAAACGTCTCCAACACTCTGCTGATCAATAACTGCAGAGTTCAAACCTCCTCTGGCATCAACATCAGCACAGAAACTGCACCGGGAGCTTCATGGCAGGGTTTCCATGGCTGAGCAGCTGCACACAAGCCTTACATCACCAAGCACAATGCCAAGAGTCGGCTGGAGTGGTGTAAAGTGCCGCCACTGGACTCTGGTGCAG